TGTACACAGTTTTGTCTTAACACAGTCTAAAAAATTTAGTTCAATATACATACATATCTATTTCTTATACGAATTTTTAACTTTAGCATGGTTTGAATCGTTTAATTTTCATCAATACTAAACAATATTAAAATCAATACAATAATAAAATAAGTTTGATAAAAAAATTAAAAAACCACGCTTATATAATGCTCAGCAAGCCGAGCTGTCCCCAACCTCCACATTGTAACATATTTTTACAGCACTTTTTGGTAGTCTCTTTGGAAGTACGTATCTTTGCGAACAGCTTTCTTCAAAAATGAAAATTATCAAAAACGCAGCTCGAAATCGACTGATGAAAGGTTGGAAAGCTGTTTACGTGTCGCAGTTTCTCATACACCCGCAAATATTTGTAAACTTGTCGACAAGAAGCAGTGTCAAATTTCTCATTAAAACTTTTAATACTTATTTTTATTTTCTCTTAATATAATTTTTCAATCACTATTTTTATAATAATAATATATTTAAGTTTAAGAAAATAATTATAATATCTAAAATGCATTCACTAAACATTTAAAAATAACTACAAAATGCCTCAATCAACATTTAAAAAGAACTACAAAATGCCTTGAAATTACTTATTACTGAAATTAAACTTACTTATTAAAGGTTGCTCATCACTGCTCTAAGTAATAAATATATTTATATATACATACAATATGATATAAATTCATAATATATAAAAATGTAAATGAAGTACATCTATCAAGTAAATATTAATTATCTTAAAAAGGTGATTATAAATATTGCAAAGAGCTACTCATATATTACTTTTTATACTAAAATATATACAACATTAACATTATAAATAATATTGAAATATGAAATAAAGTCTACTCTTCTGAGATAAATTATTGTATTTATAAACTATACATTATTGTAACTCATTCAGGAATATTTTTTATTCTAACTAGATATGTTATTTCATTAATGCCTTGGAAATATAACCAATTTGAAAACATTATATTCAAGCTTTGAATTATATTCAAAATAAAAATAAAGTGGTAGCATTTATTTCGAAATTAGTTATAAAAAGTGGTTGTCGTGATTTCGGACATAGTTTGTATCTGCTCTTATTATAAAAAATATCTAATTTAAATAAAAATTTTTTCAGTATAGCAGCATAGCATATTTAGCCCCTTTTTGGCAAAATCTTTTGTGTGACCGAATATCTGGCATCTCTTGCACTGCGAGATAGACTTATTATTTCTATCAGACTCAACCTTTACTCTCATGTGCTTAAGATATTCAATAAATTTTATATATTTTATTTATTTCTTCAGCGTGATCGAAGGAGAAAGAGGAAAAACTTTTTAATATTATTTATGTCATATTCTTTTATTGTTTGATTTTTATTTACGACATCTGCGCTTTTGAATCTCCTTTGAATTGAAAATAAAAAAAAATTTTTAAAATAATCCAAAAAAAGAAAAATACGAGAACATTCCAGGCAAGCATCGATCTAAAAATCTTCTGGTTATGACACTACCACGCTACCCACCAGGCTACGCAGTACCTTGAATTTTCCTTTATAATTCTATATTTTATTCATATTTCGTATAACTCATCAAAAACCATCACATTGTACATTATATAGATATATATAGCTACTTCTCAGGTGGCAAAAAGTACGGGTACTTCTAGAAGGGCTAGAGACATGGGACAAGAGGCATTAGATAGGGTTTTGCCTCCAGGGTCCCAGAAAAAGCAAGAATTCCTCCCGCCCTCCCCTTCACCCCCTCACAAGATGCTTTGTAACCGTATTTTACAAAATGGTACTACATATGGTAGGGGTAATTTTTTATTTACTTTTGGTTGTATAAATATTGTATGTAAATTCATATTTGGAAGTGTGAGTTATAACGAAAAGTGATCACTTTCTTAAGAAAATTGTAAAGTTTTAATAAAATCTACACTGTTTTATAATAAGTGTGTACGTGCGCATTTAGTTATTTATCCTTTTCGTGATCTGCTACAAAATGTATTAGTAAGCAAAACATATGTAAGTGTACATTACACTTCTTGACAATATATTTTTAGGGCAAAATTTTATAAGAAAATGTTGTTCTATTGCATTAAACTTTTTACAAATAGGGTATTTTCAAAAAAATATTTGGAACGAAAACTCGCTGATATTGATTTGTAAGGATGAACCTTTTTCAATTTTAATTTAAAAAAAATAAAATTATCAATAAAAAAAAGTTCATCTTGCAAATCGCATTTTTCAGGGGTCGAACTTGGGACTTTTTACATAGAAATCGTGTGTTATACGCATTACCCTACGTTAGGATTAGTGTTAACTCATTATACAGTCACGCGTTTTATTCGCATGTATTATAAACTCCAAATTCATACGTGCATGCATTTTAGTAGCGAATTATTTTATGCGTATACAGTTATTTATCGCTTAAAGTGCTTATTGTAAAAGGTATTTTACGATTCTAAAATAAATTACTCAAAAGGTATGAGATCTTAAAAGAACTAATTATTTGTTTAATTATGTATTTTTTGGTAATTAGTTTTAGCACATTTCTTATTTTAAGTTTTATCTTATTATTTATTAGGAAAAAACATATCTATATGTATATTACGGGTGTGTTTTTGAAAAAATAAAGTAAACTTAAAATATCTCAACCATAGAATGGAACACAATTTCAATACTACAAGCATAATACTTGCAAAGCTTACAATGCAAGCACACACGACTAGTTTTATATAGTTCGGACCTGATCACATTTCAATTTCCCCAGCAACTAGTTGATATATTTGTAATAAAATGAAATTTCGGTTAATATTACTATGTATTTGTGTCAAACAATTAAGAGAAACTTTTAAGTGTATCGAAATAGGTATATCATGAGCATCAGCTGCAAATACAGGGTGTGTCGCATAAGGTGCCCGGTGGTGTAGATATACTAATTTTCGAGCTACAGCCTGTTGAGAAAAAGTTAAAATTTGTTTTTTTTTTTTTAATTTTTTTTACAAAACTCCAAGTTTCTCGAAAATTTTTGTTATTTTTTTTTTTGTTTTTTTCGATGCGCTACGATGAGATCTAAAAGTTAACCCATATAGCGTTTCTTCTATCTTTCATAGTTTTGCCAGTATAACGTGTTAAATGTGTTCAAAAAACATGCGCAAAATGCATTTTTTATATATTTCATACAAATGCCAAATTATACACACTAAAAAATATTTGTGAGAGATATTTGTATGAAATGCATGAAAAGTGCATATTTCGCATGTTTTTAAATACATTTAACACGTTTTACTGAAAAAACCATGAGAAATAGAGGAAACTTTTAGATCTCGTCGTTGGGCTTCATAAAACAACGAAGAAAAAAGCAATAACAAAAATTTTTGAGAAATTTCGAATTTTAAAAAAAAAAATTCAAAAAAAAAAACAAAACAAAACTTCTGGAGCTACCTTTTTTTTCAACAGGCTGTAGCTCTAAAACGAGTATGCACCACCTTGCACTCATATAATTTTTTGCTATGGAAATTGATGAAAGAATCATCTCTGAAATTATTTCCCACCTTATGCGAAACATCCTGTTTAACAATATAATTAAACAAAACATATGTGCGCATGCATCAATGAAAGTACAAATTTATGTACATAGTCGTATGTGCTTGTATACAAGCACATACGACTATGTACATAAATTTGTACTTTCGTATTTATTAAAAAAGAAATCTTTTCTTAAAAAATTATAAATATGTTTTTATTTGGGTGGTAGATTTAGTCAGAACTAAAATATTAAATAACAAATAAAAAATTTTCTTCCAGATACCTTGTTGATTTTTGTGATGTACTGTTGAATCATTCTGCATTTAAATTAGTCCATGACTACCCATACTACATTCATTTAAAATATTTCAGTTCAACGACTGGAATATTAAATAATCTACTCATATGTATTCAGCCATTTTATTTGGCATTTAATAAAGCCTAATTGCAATCAAATTAATAGTTTCCTTATATATGTTAAGTATGTGTTTATATATGCCATTCTGGAGAACAAATTTCTAAAACAGAGGTATTTTTTATCTGTAGATGATTTGTTTTTTTTGGTCGATATATTTTAACGCGAAACAAAGAATGTAAGGAAAAGATTATAAAAAGTATGAACGACACTAGCACACATTAAAATTTTGCTGAAATTTCGGTTCAGAATTATATGGAACCAGGCCTGGGAAAATGCGAATAAGATTCGAGAAATGGAATACATACTGTAATGTAAACACATTCTACATGTAACACATATACATACTGTATGTACATATATACAAATGATAAATAACAGTGAAGGTTAAATTTTTAGTTTTTCGTGCTCGTACAAATCATAGATTATAGAGGAAAAATCACAATGATTGTGTCCTTCTAACTGCTGGTAAAATAAATGCTAGAATATGGTTCTAGTTTCGTTCTATGGAATCTACAGTCTGATTCGAAATGGTGCAGAAGAACTTGGAAATTAGATTTCAAGTTCTTGTGTACTGTTTTTAGAAATTAGAAATTGTTAAGATAAAGGTAAGATAAGACAAGTATATTGAGATAATTCAAGTACGTATTTATTTCCTAGTTTTATTAGAGCTTATTCTCTGTAAATGTAAATTGCACTCTAGTGAATGTAAATTACGTTTACAGTCTACAAACTTATGTATGTGTAATGAAAAATTATAAACACATACAATTTATGTATGTGTTTATTTTTGTTTTAAAAAAATATAAATTTTTAATCAATAAGCTTTTCATATTAATTTGTAAGTAAATGTTTGTGGAGCATCGGGTTTAAGTTAAAATACATACATCAAAAGTTCCCCTTACTAAATTGGAGAATATTTTAAATTCTTTTACAAACAAAAACTACACGCTGACGCAAAAACGAGTATTTTCGTACTAACCAATACCATAAATATTTTTAACAAATCTTGTTATCAGTAATCTCCTCATTCGTTAAGTTGCAAAACATTCTATAGAAAAAGTTTCATTAATTCGTGTTCTATTCTGTAAAACGTCAGCGAAATAATATGTAAAATAATGTTATAAATAAGTTATGATTAAAATAAAGAAAATAAATTATAAAATTTACTATATGAGATTAAAAAAAATAGAAGTGATAGAAAAGTTTAAACTTGATAAAAAATTTAAATATGTATAATGTGAATAAAATTAGGAATAAGGATACATTAGCAGTCCTGGTAAGCTTGCAAAAATGTTAATAACAATTTAAATTAAAATTTTGTGTTTTATATTTCTCTATGTAAAAACACAAAAAAACAAATTGAAATATCAATAAAACCTGCATTGAAATGTAATATTTAAAACAAGAAAAAAATTTTATATTTGCTTTAAAAAAATGCAGCATGAAAAAAGAGAAATAAAATATTCAATTAAATGCTTCAGAAATTCATTGACATGTTTACTGTTTATTAAAATAACATATGTACATATACATATTTGTATATATATATTTACATTTTTCTTTGACTTAAGAAAAAAGAAGAAAAAGCAATAAAAAAGGCGGGCTAGGATTTATAGTAAAAGGCAAAAGATATGCAATTTAAATTGTGCTTACAGAAATTTAAGCATTCAAATGTAAAACAATGCCAAAGTGAAGCAAATTATTTTTGGTTTTTGTGATTTTATGCACTTGTTTATAGTATTAACAGCTTAGGCATACATATATATATATATATATGTATATTTCTTGAATTATATGTACATATGTGTTTTTTATATATGCAATTTTATTTATAAATATTTTTTGTGCGAATGTGTGTAAATAGTAAGATGTCTCACATTTACATAAGGATATTTTTTTAATATTGCTTGCATTATGCATATACATACATGTATTATGAACGTTTGCAAAAAAAAATTAGAATATTATAGCTTTATCACTAAATGAGCTTAATTATAGCAGAGAACACCTGTTGTTATTTTGGAAAAGAGCTTATTTAGCTTTCAGCGAAAAGAGTCTCATATTTGATTATATTTTTATATAATTAAATTTTTAATACATATTGTAATATATTTTGCAATGAAAAGAAGAATTAGAATCCATACATATATTCATATAATATTATTACAAATTTATAAATAAGTTCGTAAATACGAAAAATAAGTTCCCTCATAAAATCATTTCAAAAGCTCGGACAAAACAATATAAAGAAATTGAGAACTATAGCTTTTATGTTAGCCTTCATTTCCGTAATAATTTAATGCAGGTGGTTTATAATGGGGCTGGTTAAAACGAAAGCTGAAACAAAAGATTCGGCTTTGAATTAGTATTCTTGGTTGATTGTAATGCTAACAATCGTTTTAGTTAAATTGGTACAAAATTGTAATTTTAAATAGATCAGTTAAAATGTAGTATTTAATTAAATTCTATTCTACAATAATTCTATTAAGAATTAGGTAAGGTTAAGTTGTAGAATTCTGGCATTTTCATTCGTCAGTACGGTTGTTGTGATGTCTGAAAGAGCTTGTCAAAGGTTTTTAATAGAAATGATGTCAGCGATGCTTTAGAGGGTTGACTAAAATTCTTCATTTTCCTTGCGAAAAACTGGGAAATTGCTAAAGTGAATATATAAGTATATTGCCATCTAAATTGTGACTCGTACTTAATTGGAACTGTTTGAAGTTTAAGACTAAATAAAACAAGCTATATAATTTAATCCTTTTTTGAAATCAAATAAAAAGAAAATGAATAAAATCAGCAGAGAAATATACTCGTAATTCATGCATAAATCATATTAACGCATATAGAACGTGCAACTAATACCACAGACATCTTATAATACACAATTTACTAGTACATTCATACGGTGTATTGAAAATTGATCATCGTACTTTTTGTTAAGAAATATATTTTTTATTAGGTATTTTCGAATAAATTAGAAATGTTCATGGTGATTTGGGATATTTGAAAAATAAAAAACGATTAAATACAAAAAATATTCAGAAATTATTTTATTTCGTTTAAATATTAACAAAATTAAATTTCTTGTTCTTACAATCTAGTTACCTTAAAATATTTTTGAGGTAAAACCGAAATAGTAAATACATAAAAATATTGTTTTTAAAAAAACTACATATGTACATAACATATTTACATAAAAAAATAAAAGTTGTGAAGCATTTTTCTTAAAACTAGTTGTATTTGATGAGAGAAGCAATTAATTTTATGACATAAATGAACCTACATATGTATTCAACTACAATAAATGTGCCTATGTATTCAACTTAATTACTTATTTAAATTGATTTAATTACTTACTTAAATTAATTTAAATTAATTTAAAGCTCTTGCAAATTGAAAATACCTCGTTGGTGTCGAATCGCTTTATCCTAATGCTTATATCCATTTGCCCCTGATGACTTCGTTCTTTGGCAAAGTAAATATAGGTATACGAGTAGCATTTATGTTCTCCTTTTCTCGTAGACTATTGCTTCTGCATCCTTCGACGCAACACTTTCGCGGCATTTTTATAATGTAATTCTACAACATGAGGGTAATCAGATACACTATTATATTTTATTTAAATATGATTACAATAAAAACTTTAAAAAGTACACCAAATCTTACAAGTTTGCTAAGTGATTTGCTACGTGAGTTTTTTTTATGTGTCGTTTTACTCATAAACTTAAGTAACCAAGAAAGTTTTGCGTTAATTACATACATTTGTACTATGTTGTAATAGAAAAAATAATATTTATGTACATGTAAATGAGTACATATGCATATGATAATTAAGGTTCAATTCGTTTACAGCCGAAGTGATCGAAAAATCCAACATAACGTAAACATAAAGTAAATAAAACAAAATATATGGGACAAGTTTATATTTTGGCGTATATGAAAAGAAATTTTCCCCTTTTTGTGTGAAGTTTAATAATTAACCAGGGGCCGAAATTTGCTTTGTTATCATATCTATGGAACTAATTGATGGAATTTCTTGAAATTAAAAATTTGAGTTCTGTTTGCAAACTGAAAAACTAACTGATGACCTTTTAAAGGAATTTGGTTAGCATAATGTAAGCTAAAGCGTAAGAGCTTTTACATTTTTCTAGGTATGTTAACTAAAAGCGTACTAGCCTCCCTAAAATTTGTGAGGAGTATTTAAAAGACATTTTCGTAGTCTTATGCAAAAATTTAGCTCAACTAGACAATTTCTTGCGATCATGTGTTACCGTATCAGATTTTTTTTATGTAAATCAACATAATGCTTGCAAAAATATTATAAAATATTATATTAGTTAATAATAGCTTCATTTCAATACGAATTTATTCTTGCAGAGCACTGTTATATTCATACTAAACATGCGATTCATGCATATTATACGGGTGATAGAGCAAACTAACAATGCATAGAGAGCTAAACTTTATATTTTTGTTTTTAAGCTTAAGTTCATGTTCATTTCAAATCATTGATATTGATTGACTATAATGAGCACTGCGGGTACATGTTTTTATATTTTACGAGCCAACGGCTAGCCTTATCTAAGTTTTAATTTTCCTTCCTTTATTAAATGAATTACTAATGTACATGCATTCATATTTTAACACGTTGAGTTTCAATATATTACCAGTGAGCAAATCTACAGTGCCAAAAATGGTGAACATAAGAAAACCTATATGCGTTGAATCGATGCTCAACATACGAATTACTAATGCAACTATAAGTAACGCAGAGATAAATTTGATTTCTCCGGAAAAAAAGGCTAAAATTTTGTATTTGTACTTATATGTACATATACTTAACTCCTCTAAATAGTAGTATTACACCTGCGATAAGGCGCTCATAGGTGCGTACGAATTGTACGAAGCCTTTTGGATTTGCTCATGAATTACACGATGGAACACAAAGTAACTATTTTTAGCACTTTTCCAAAAAATTTTTGAAAAAAAGTGCTTATTAGTTTCACTCTATCCGTCCGTCCGTCCGTCCGTCCGTCCGTCTGTCCGTGTGTCTGTTTACAAAACTCCTACACCCTTGAAGATAGAAAGCTGAAATTTTGTACGTACATAGATTTTTACTAGAAACTTATTTTCGTGGAACAAAATTTTTACCTATCTCCCCCCCTTTAGAAGTTATACCCCCCCAAAACCCTAAAAATGCCATTCTTTAACTATTTAGTGCAATGAAACCATAAGGATTTTTCAAATTTTGCAAACGCAGAAAGGCAGTGGCTTACTTCCCCTAGCGGGGTATACTAAAGGTTAACTTTAGAAAAACAAAATGGCCGCTCAAATTTACCGTTATCTAAAGTCCGTTTTTTCCAAATTTTTGATGTCATTTATTTTCTAGACCCCAGCCTGTAGAAGCTTGAAATTTTATGGGCTTTTAGACATTAACAAATAGTTCATTTCGTTAGAAGAAAATTTTTTTCCATCTCCTTCCCCTCTCAAGTTATGGCCTCTTGAAATTTGTAAAATTTGAATTTTTGACACCTTATATTTCCGAAACCGCAAACTTTTTCAAATTTCTATAAACATAAAAAGCTAACGGTAAATTCCATGAAATTAAAAAATATAATTATTTTTCTTAACTCACATAATTAAACCTTAAAATCGAGCATTATGTTAACCCCTTTTTATATTAATTTTTGCTTTATTTCAAACACTGCATATATGCGTCATCCTAAATATATGCAATTCTAGAAATAGTTTTGTATATGAATGAAAATAATTTTAATAGTTTGATAGGTATACATAGACTGTATTTAAAAGCAGAATTTTCACTTGCTGAAGGGAAAAGTGCTACAATACAAACCATTGGTTTGACCCAACTTTATTTACATTTTTTATAGTCATGAAGTTCAACGTGTTAATTTTGTTTTACTGTTTTGTTTAACGGTTTGGGTCTGTCGACCTGTGTGTGAACGCGTGTATATTAATTTCGGCTAAACCGATTTTAATGAAATTTTATATGTAAGTTTGTTTTGACTATTTTACATTTTTTGCCATATCTACGAAACTGATGGAAATTCTTAAAATTTGATATTTGAGTTCTGGTTGTTACCAAAACTAACTGACTTTTCAAAGAATTCGGGTGGCACAAAGCGAAATTCTTCTAAGAACCAAATTTACACTTTTCTAGATTTGTATCTTCAAATTTTATTTTTTTACCAAAATAACAGTTCTTAAAATGTCAACTGCTTTTCAAAAGTAACTATTGTGATCAAAAATTAGTAA